GCTGCACTTCTAAATGGGCAAATGAGACTAGATCTTGCAGTTAACAAATTTCAAGGTAATGTTTTTCCCCAGAACGTGGTGAGATGAGCCAAAAATCTTAGGAGAAAGGACAACAAGACTAGAGCTGTTTGTTTTGTAGGAAGAACATTAGAAATCCTGTTGGTTTGAACCCAAAATGGAGATGGAACTCTGCATCTGACATAAATTCTGCACGTGAAAAAAGCACTTAGTCCCTGGCCATAAGTGATTGGCTCTGCCCTTCCTCTCACTGCTCCCAGAAAACCAAAGATAGCCAAATCTCTGTGATCAGATTGGAGCTCTAAATCCTTCTCATGCCAAGTCATTTGGGAGCTGTTGCTGGTCAGGGTTGAATTAAAAACTGCTGGTTCCTCCCCAGCTGTTAATGCTCTTTGGATATGTTGGAAATCCATTTTTTCCTTCCTTTTTGTGCTCTGGGTGGCCAGTTCAGAACCCTGTGCCTCAAGAGACATTAAACACGATGCAGTTTTCTGGCAAAAAAACCCTGTTTGGCTGCTTAATGTTTAAAAAAACCAAAAATTCACAGTGATAGGCAAAGGTCCTGTCTCTGTTTTTAAGGTTTTCTTTATTCTGCTTCTTTTTTTTTTTTGCTGCTATAAGATTCTCTTGGATTTCTATTGGAAACTTTTCATGCACTTTACTGTTTCTAGTCTCCAAATGTGATATTTTTAATAAATGAAAACCATTTTCCATGCTGTGAATGCAATTTTTCAGCAGATCGATAAGCCTATACTTATGTCTCAAAAAAGCAAAAAGTCCAATTTCAATTGTGAGGTTAGTTTGAAGTCCTCCAGAGCCATCAGAGCTGCCGAGTCAGGCTGCTCCTCCCCGATTCAGCATCTCCTTTGTCGTTTTATACACAGGAAATTACCCACAGGGGGAAAAACAACCAACTGGACCTAGAGGAGAAGCTGTTCCCTGACTCTGGCTGGGGACTGGGGAGGGATGGGATAGGCCAGAATGCCAAAATGGGTTCAACAAAACAACAGCTCCCTTGGAAAAGAAGTGCCTGAAAAATGGAGGCAGCTTCCATGGTCTGGTAGCAGTTAGAGTTGGGGGAAATTCCAGTCAAACAACAAGCCCTTTGCAGAGATGGATTTTCCTCTGGGTGCAGTTTGAACATACCTCAGCATTCCCTGGTCATGGCACAGAGATTTGAGAGCACTGGAAAGTAGAATAGCATGGAAAACTTCGTTTTGTGGACATTACCTTTCTGTGATCAGCTGCTGTTTGTTTTCTGGGGAGGGAGGGAGGGAGGATGCTCCACCCTGGGGTGCTCACTCACCCGCTCCTCCGTCCCTCCCTGCAGCCTGAGCAGTGTTTCCTACCATACTTCACTCCCAATATTTTTCTGAGCTGTTTGTACAAAATGGACTTTCCAATTCTCCGGTGGTTGTGTGTGAGCTGCAGGAGGAGCCTGTTTAGTACTGACCATACAAACCCAGCACCAATGTTTTGTAACAGAGGGGTGGGAGAGGGTGGGAAAACCCAACCCCTGGCAAACCTTGTAAGCTGCTCCAGTTGGATTTTCCTTTGGTTTCTAATGGTGGGAGGTGTTCCATTGGATTTTCTCTGCTGCAAAATGCACTTCCCAGCACCCATCACCTGTGCAAGTTTTAACAGAGAAATGTTGTTTTAGCAGATATTGCACACAGAAAAAACGTCTTGTTTGTGTTTCTGTTAGTGCACACCTTTACCTGCCCCTCCTGTTTCCCTTCTGGTTTTCCCTTCCCAGCAGTGTGGGGATGGTGCTTTTTTCCCAGCTGTTCTCTCCATCACCAACCATGATGGTCCATCAGCCAGTGCCTGGGAAAAAAGCTTCCAAGCCTTTCCCTGCCTTGGTTTGCTTCCCAAAACACAGTGCCTGGTGTCACCTTCCAAGCAACAGCACTGCCTGAAGCAAGCAGAGAAAACAAAATCCAACACCCTTCTACAAGCAACTTTTTAAGACCCAACCTGGTCACTGTTCGATATGGGGTTTTGTGTGTGTATAT